AGGGCTTTAAACTAGGAATGACGGGGGAGGGAGAGAGTGAACTGCAGCCCTCTGAGGGAGTGATGGACACAGTTGATGAGCAAAGGGCCTGGAGTGATGTGCCAGGAAGGGATCACAAGATCAGGAAAACAGGGCTTAAGCGGGCTCACCTCCAGCAGCTGCATGTAAGCAAAGAAATGTCTACAAGGCAGCATTGTGGTGAAATCCCCAAAACCCCTTCTAGGACGTCAACATGCTGGGCTCCCTCTGTCAAGTGTCTGTACACTAATGTACGCAGTATGGAGCATATACATGAGTTAGACATCTGTGTGCAGTTGCAGGGCTACAATCTTGTTGGGATCATGGAGATGGGGTGGGATGGCTCCCATGACTGGCATGTTGCAATGGAGGGATACAGGCTCTTTTGGAAGGACAGGCTGGGAAGAGGAGTAGGACTTGCCCTTTCTGTGAGAGAGCAGTTGGAGTGCATGGAGCTCTGCCTGGGGATAGAAGATGAGCCAACTGAGAGCTTATAGGTAAGGGTTAAAGAGAAGATGGGTAAGGGTGACATTGTAGTGAGTGTCTGCTATAGGCTGCCTGACCAGGAAGAACAAGTGGATGAGGGCCTCTACAGACAGACAGGAGCAGGCTCACATTCACAGGCACTGGTCCTTATGGCAGACTTCTGCCACCTTAACATCTGCTGGAGGGACAACACAGCAGGACATAAACAAGCCAGGAGGTTCCTGGAGTGCATTGACAACTTCATCGCCCAAGTCATAGATGAGCCAACAAGGAGAGGTGCTCTGCTGGAGCTCATACACACCCTGGGAAAGTGATAGAGCAGCTAATCCTGGAAACAATTTCCAAGCACATGAAAGGACAAGAGGTGACTGGGTGTAGTCAGCATGGATTCACCATGGGGAAGTCATGCTTGACCATGCTGATATCCAGCTACAATGAAATGACTGGCTTGGTAAACAAGAAAGGACTGGTGGATATAGTTTACCTTGATTTCAGTACGGCTTTCTACAATGTCTTCCATAGGATCCTTATAGAGAAGCTGTTGATGTACAGGCTGGATGAGCAGACAGTGAGGCGGATTGAAAACTGATTGTCAGTGGGTGATGATCAGTGGAATAAAGACTAGTTGGGGGCCAGTAACTAGTGGTTTCTGCAGGGATCAATACTTGTTCCAATCCTGTTCAACATCTTAATTAATGATCTAGATGACAGGGCAAAGTGTACCCGCAGCAAGTTCACAGTTGACACTAAACTCAGAAGAGTGGCTGGTACACCAGAGGATCATGCTGCCATCCAGAGGGATCTCAACAGGCTGGAAAAATGGGCTAACAAGAACCTCCTGCAGTTCAACAAGGGGAAAGGCAAAGTCCTGCACCGGGGGAGAAACAATCCCATGCACCAGTATGTGCTGGGGACTGCCCAGCTGTAAAGCAGCTTTGCAGAAAAAGACCTGAGTTGTCATGCTGGACACCAAGTCGACAATGAGCCAGCAATGTGCCCTTGCCTCAAAGAAAGCCAACAGTGTCTGGGCTGCACTGGGAGTAATGTTGCCAGAAGGCCAAGGAAGGTGATCGTTCCCCTCTACTCAGCACTGGTGAGGTCACTCCTGGAGTACTGGATCCAGTTCTAGACTCCCCAGTACAAGGGAGATATAGAAGTACTGGAGACAATCCAATGAAGGGGCACAAAGAGGATGTATGAACTGGAGCACCTCTTCTATGAGGAAAGGCTGAGAGAGCTGGGACTGTTCAGCACAGAGAAGAGAGTGCTCAGGGTGGATCTTATCAATGTATCTAAATACCTGAAAGGAGGGTGCAAAGAAGACAGAGCCAGGCTCTTCTCAGAGGTGCCCAGTGACAGGACCACAGGCAATAGGCACAGGCTGAAACACAGGAGGCTCTGTCTGAAACATGAGGGAACACTTTTTTACTGATGAGGGTAACCGAGCACTGGCATGTGTTGCCCAGAGAGGTTGTGGATTCTCCCTCCTTGGAGATACTCAAAAGCCATCTGGACATGGTCCTGGGGAACCTGTGCTTCAGATGGCCGTGCTTCAGAAGGGTGGTTGGACAAGGTGATCTTCAGAGGTCCCTTCCAAACTCAACCATTCTGTGATTCTCCAAAAGACTTTTTATGAAATAACATTTCCCATAGTTTCTAAACCCTTCCAGGATAGCAGAAGAGGGATGCTTTCAGTGCATGCCCATGATCAAAAGCCATAGAGGAGACTTTTAAATTTTTAGTTAGTACTCTTTTGTTGTAGACCACCTTCTGCGTCTTCCAAAGGAGCCTTGGTTTCTACTACCTACTTCTGCTTGTTCCTGGTGATAGAATGTTGCTCTGTCACAATCTTTTTAGGGTCATCACTGTCTGGATTTACACCATAATCCAACACGAGATCCCTCAGTGCCTCAAAATTGATTTTTCCTCTGTTTGTTACATTTAGAGTGATGCCTTCAACCTTTAAGAACACTTCCCTTCAGACTGCAAGTCGCTGTAGGATTTTGGGCCTGATGACACAAACTCCGTAACATGCTCATCTGGAGGACATTTGCCCATCAACTTACCTAAGTAGTCGCCAAGCAGGGAGGTCCCAGTCCCCTGGATGACTCTCAGATATCATAGAATCTGTGTCAAGATAAAGGCAATGGTCTTGCAGGGAACCTAAGAGATTGTAAAGCTTTAGGTGTGCATATGCTGTTGTGAAGCAAGTTATAGAGATGTCAGCATTGTACTCCAGGGTCATGCGCCCTTTGGCATACTTCCATGTGACAGTGGCTACATCCTCAACAATAAAGTCACAATAGGACATATCGTAAGCTGGAGAAAAAAGGTAACCATACAACTGGGCAAAAGCCCAGCTAGAATGCAATCTGGCCGCTGTCGTTAAAGACAACAAAAAAAGCTTTTACAAATATATTAATGACAAGAAGAGAGCCAAGGAGAATCTCCATCCTTTACTGGATGCAGGGGGGAACATTGTCACCGAGGATGAGGAAAAGGCTGAGGTACTCAATGCCTTCTTTGCCTCAGTCTTTAACAGGCAGACCAGTTATCCTCAGGGTACTTGGCCCCCTGAGCTGGAAGACAGGGATGGCGAGCAGGATGAACCCCCCATAATCCAAGACGAAGCAGTTAACGACCTGCTACGCCACCTGGATGCTCAC